AGAATCTATGCTGTAAATTTGGTGCCTCTACCTCAAAAAACAGCCCCTCCAGAGCCCCAGATACCTCTGGGTGGATTCTCCATTATAGCCTATGGGGCCCAGTGGCTATGATGGTCCCCATAAGCTATAATTGAGCCAGGATTATTTTTTCACACCCGTATTTTGCTTTTCAGTATGATTTGTAAGCTGCCTTGAGTTACAGGGAAAAGTGGGATATAAATATTCGAATAAATAAGTAGTTTGGGCAGGTTGATAACATTTAAGCAACTTCCTGTTTGTTAGGTTAGGCAGGGTTCTGACAGTGAATGTTCCACCACTCTTATATTTGATCTGTAATGCTGGTTGTCTTATTTCACTAAAAAAAACCCACAAAGTAGACTGCAAGAGTACCCATCCCCCCCCCCCCAGTGCTGGTATGTTTTCTAAGGGTCAGCGTAGGGTGACAGTCCAGGCCAGGTATACCAATATAGTGGAAAGAGGTGGGCAGATCTGTACTCTGGAGGCCACGTCTACCAATATAGTGGAAAGGGTTGAGCAGACCTGTTCTCCAGAGGTCAGATCTACCACGCACCCCACACAAGCACGGACGCAGACCCCTCCCCCCCCCCCCAGTGCTGGTATGTTTTCTAAGGGTCAGCGTAGGGTGACAGTCCAGGCCAGGTATACCAATATAGTGGAAAGAGGTGGGCAGATCTGTACTCTGGAGGCCACGTCTACCAATATAGTGGAAAGGGTTGAGCAGACCTGTTCTCCAGAGGTCAGATCTACCAATATAATGGACTGGGGCGGGTAGACCTGTTCTCCGAAGGCCACATGTACCAATATAGTGGACTGGGGTGGGTAGACTTGTTCTTTGGAGGCCAGGTCTACCAATGTAGTGGACCAGGGCGGGTACACCCGTTCTCTGGAGGCCAGGTCTACAAATGTAGTGGAAAGGGGTGGGCAGACCTATTCTCCTGAGGCCAGGTCTACCAATATAGTGGAAAGGGGCAGGTATGTTCTTCAGGGGCCTGGTCTACCCCTGTAGAGGACAACATTTTGTGTTATGAAACTTGACTTGATTCTGTTTTCTCTTATAATGTTTAAATAATTCTTAAAATATAGTTTAAATATAATTTTAAAGAATTCATTCTGAGATTTTACAAGGTTGTGGAAATAATCTTCTAAAATATAATTTATGCAATAGTCAAATGTAGACTTGCTCACAACTTTAATGCTGCTAGCTTTTTTCGCTCATGAGGTAGAATTTCTGCTCACAACACTGTGGAGCTAAGAGGGAACATTGTCTCCCACGAGTGTGAGGAATGAGCGTACACCCACCAGCAATGTCTCACAAGAAAATTTTGGTATCTCAGTCTCCGGTGAGCCAGGTAGTGTTGCTGGAGAATCCTCCTCCTTTTTCGTGTCAGTTTCAGGTGCTGATGCTGCAGGTGCAGGAACATCAAACACAACTGCAGGCCACACATGAGAAGACCCAAAAAAGTCTTCTGAGGATCCATTTCTTTCATGTTGATCAATCTGACAGAAGATCTGAAAATGAGTGGGAAAAGGAAGTAAGATCAGGCAGGAAAGGGAGTAACTTTTGGCAGAGAACTTCAGTTGTGTAGCAACCAATGAGATCACAGTATTTGGCGGACTGCTGAGCTGTCAAAAAGGAGTGGTGCTTTGAATAAACGCTTATGCGCATGCATGACAACCAAAGAAATAAAAAAAGAAACCTCCCAACCGCCTAATCGTTGCTTACCACACGCAAATAATCTGAATGGTCAACCATGGGGTGAGCACGTGGTGCAACAGGTTAAGGGTGGATGTTTAGACAAAACCCTCTGGCACAAAAATATACAGATAAAACTAGAAGCAAAGCCAAAACTTGCTAAGCCCATCATCTGACCAAAGCCCTAGCAATGTCACTGGGTGAGCCCTTTTGATGTCATGGGGGGCCTGGTTATGTCACACTGAATAGCAATGGTAGTATTTCTACACACTACAAGGAATTGTACCAAATTATATCTGTGAATTTTTATAAAGTATTCCCAATAGTGTGGTTTAGAAGAAACAAGACGGGGACCCGCGATACTCGCGGGGGGGGAGAAGAGCTCCGTCTCCTCCATCCCCCCCGCTCGATCTCCCCGAGGAGGAGGAGGCGGCGAGGCCGGTCCTCCCTCCTGACTGGCTCCGAGGCGGCGGAGAGGCAGGTCCTTCCCCCCCTTTGCCGGGCTTGGCGGCGGCGGCGAGGCCGGTCCTCCCCCCCCCCGCCGCCCGGCTCCGAGGCGGAGGCGGCAGCGGAGAGGCTGGTCCTCCCCCCCC